CCCTATAACCTTCTCTGTTTATCCATAAGATGCCCGAGAGCAACTTGTCATTCTAACATATATCTGTTGGGTGGATAGCAACCCCTGCACAAAATACATGATGTGCCTCACACATGGAGTAGGATTTAAAGCACCCCCAAGAATCCTTTTGCTGAAAAGGCAGGCATCATCTGTTGAACAAGCCAAGCGTATGCATGGGCACATGCAGCCATCTCCGAGAAGAACTCTAAGTGCACTGGTGTATGTAAGCTCACGTACTCAGCTCCTGGGTGGTTAAGCAGTGAGAGAAACTGTGAAATCGTCATCCTTGGAAGTTTTCAAGAGCAGGTTAGAAAGACACTTGGCTACACTGGTTTAACCAGGATAACACTGTCTTGAGCAGGGGGGCTGAACTAGATGACCTTGCAAGGTCCCTTCCAGCCCTACTTTCCTATGATCCTATAGTACTATTTTAATATACATCACTATACAGTTCAAAGTAGACCAGGCATATTAGCGTTCACCCAGAGGACAGCATTCGAAGTGGTTGCTTCATCTCTTCTAAAGAGTTTACCAAAGCCCGGCTCAGCAGTGCTACAAGGATGTTCTGGCTCTTCGACTCCATAACAAAGTCTGCAGGAGTTGGGAAATGCAGAAGTTGAATTTCCAACAGCACTAGCTCAGCCACCTTGAAAATCCTGTACTTCTGCCTGCGCCGTTTTTGACACTGGTGCTCCACGGTTTGAATAGGAAGAGGACAGTGGGCTGCTGGAACAGTAGTCTCTGATAAATTGCTGATTGAATTTGTCTAAAACAGTCGTTCCCAATGTTTGTGTCCAACGGCACATTTGAATTTAAAAGAAAATGCGGTGGGCACCAATATGAATAATGATGTTTAGAATTTAGATCAATCTGATCATCTCATCCATTACTTAAAATTGCATTAGATCTGCAACTTCAAAATGCAGCTTCCCTTTTCTTACAAAAATATTTAAGTAAAAAATATTTGTTGGAATAGTGATTTTTACTGATCGTGAAAATGCACGCAGGCACCTGAATAAACTGCTGGGGGTGCCATGGTGCCCACGGGCACCGCATTGGGAACCGCTGGTCTAAAAGGAACCTTCATCTCCATGTCTCCTGAACTGTTGGGCTCTTAGCAGTGAAACAAAGATGCCTTACTGGAGATTTTCCATTTGACTGCTCAGAGAAACCACACACAAGTTCAAATGTTTGAGAGTTCACCTACCACAGTCCTGTAAGCTTTGTGCTCTAACCCCATCTGAGAGCCACTGACAGGTCTTTCAAGTTGTACCAGGTGGGCCCCGCCATCTTTTGATGCCAACAGCACACATTTAGCTAATTGTGAATATACAGACGGCAGTGCTGAAATATGCAGCTGGAGAAGTTTTCTTGAGACGCCATATTCAAATAGTTATAACTACTTGTCAAAAGAAAAGCCCTTCAGTGAGGGCTAAACATTTAACAAGTTTGGATCAGAGCTCCTTTGGCTATAAAAGAGAGGAAAAGGCAGAATGCAAGTATTTTTTTTAAAGAGGAACCATTTCCTTCCTTGTGCTTCAGTTGGAAACTTTGATGGGGATTTTACTCAACCCCCCCTTGTAACGCTTTTTAGGACCCTATCTTATCCTGATTAAGCCCCTACAGTAGGCACTGTACAAAAACAGGGCAAGATGACTGTCAAACTTAGAGAGTAAAGCATACTAAGTGCTTTGAATTTTCAGCTGGTGTCTAATTCCACCTTCTAGTTGCAAACAGCTGACAACATACAGTACAATTCTGCTGTCTGGTACACAGCTGCAGCAAACTTGCTGCATGGGGCACCTGCAAAGCAGAGCAAGCTTCAGCAAGCCTTACACAAATGATTTGAGAAGGTAATTACTGAATTACAAGAGATGGGGCATTTTCTCCTCTACCAGAAGTACTTGGGGTTGGTAGAGCAGCTTGATTTGCTGAATGGTTGCAGAAGAAATGGATCCAAGGAAAAATCTGCTCCATAAGAAACTCTCTCTGGGGCAGGTCAGAACATGCCAGTGATCTAAATGGGGACAAAAATGCAGCTGCTATAAAAACAGGTGCATGGAGCAAGACAGGATTGCTTTCTCTAGAGGAATTTAAAGAGTAGCAAGTGGATCAAGGCTTTTCAAAAAGGGTCCACACAATGGCTGGCTGTTCATGAACAAGCACAGCCCAGGGGGGTTAATTTATCAAGCAGAAGAAAACCTCAGGAGCTGGTGAATAAGAAAAAGCAGCAGGCTACTGGCAAGCACAGTGCCCCAGTAACGCAGCAAGTGTGTCAGGAGGAGGCCAGCGCTACACAGGTAAAGCAGGCTGAACAGTGAAGCAGTTGTGCTGTACGGTCCAGGTTACTGGATAGAAGGGCTACTACAAAGATAGCTTTATATCCCTCTGCACAGCAGCACTGATTCATTTTGGGTCTTGTATTCAAAGAAAGGGTTCCTTTCACAACTGGCAGCAGGGGGGGAAGACGCATTTGATTCTTTTCCAAAGGAACTGCTGAAGCTGGCTGCCCAGCCAGGGCCACATGGCTACAGAAATGTCACAGGGCGGCTGCGACTTAGTCCTTTGTTCCCTAAAAATCAAGGGGAGGCATTATTTTCTCATTAGTCTGACACCCCCCTCCTGCTCAGCTCGGAGTCAGTTGTGGCACGCACAGTGGATGGCCACAGTCCCTCTCTCCCCTCAGTGCTTGTGCGACCGACCAAGGAGGAAAGATGTTTCACGTAGATTTAGTTTGTAGAACCAAGGTGCAAGATTTCTCACAGGAACAATGCAACTATGTCCAGAGGGCCTTTGAAGTTAAGAGCATTCAATGGACATTTGCAATCCCCCATCTGCCTATTGCAGATATAAACCTAAGTGTTCGAGCTTCGCTACAATTTCTGGTAGTTGCTAGTAACATACTGCTTTAGGTGAAGGAAGATATCTCGCTTGCCGTGCGTTATCCATGGTGGGGAAGCCCTCTACAGGCCTATACAATGATAATTGAAGCCCATCATCTCAGCTTCCACTGTCAGATGTCCCAAACTATCCAGAGAAGTCTTCATCTCCCCCTGGAAAGAATCCCACAGGCCATCTAGATGCATTTAGTTTTTTCAAGGTTCAGTCATTTTTCATTATATTAAATTACCCCTTCTTGTATTAAGGGCCAGAATGACAAGCATATACTGATTGGGTTTCAGCTGCAAATCGCCCTGCTGAAAACTTCATCACTGCAGACAAGAAGGAGGGTGGATGCTTACAGCTGTTTAGTGCCCTGACTTCTTCGGCAGCAGATAAAAGCAGATAGCATAAAGAAGTTTCAACCTCCTACACACCAAACGATCTTCCAAGGGAGCACAGGTCTTCCTCTAAAAACACATGGGCTCTCAAGGCAGTATGTACAACATGACAGACAGTCTCCCATGATCTGTTGAGCTAGGACTTGCAGCTATTGCCCCTAAATGGAGTATGCCATCAAGACAGTCTGTTCATAGAAAGGTCACATAGGAAAAATTATTTAGCTAGATGCCATTTGCTACACAAAAGGCATTTTATACGCTTCCTCCAGTAGAAAGATGATGGTGACAGTGTTCAAAAAAGATCAACTTAAACAAGTTCAGAGAATGGAATGGAAACCTCTTCTTCCACAGTGAAATTAAAAGGAGATTGATGTATTTAATTTAGCAAAATGGAGATGGAGAGGGGATCCAATTACTCTCTGCAAGCACGTTCATACAGCATCTCGGAGAGAAGCTTTTTTTATGCTGAAAAAACCACCATGTCGGCACAAGATCAAATGGTTACAAACTGGCTACATATCAATTTTGATTGGAAATTAGAAGATTTCTAACTACCAAAGGAGTGAAGATCTGGAGCACTCTTCCATGCCAAGGGGTGGGGACAAGGAATATGAACTACTTTAAGACAGAACTGAACAAGTTTATGGAAGGGATGGTAAGATAGGGCAATCAGTCAGTGTGAGGTGGAGTTGGGTGTTCGCGCTCTTCAGGTCTGGATAAGAAGACAGCTGTTGTGGTTTGGTAACCCCATAATTCGGGACTTTTGCTGGTCACCATTTGGGCCAGGAAGGATTTTTATTCGTTCACGAATGCTATTGACTTCTGTGCAA